TCAGCGTCGATAGTTTTACTCACGAGCTCCGCAGATTTAATCGCGAATGATTATAAAAGCAAGAGAGAAGAGATAACACAGCAACGTAAAAAAAACTCTCAAGCTCAAGTTCGCCGGGCTCGGGCGCTACAAGATTTTAGCCATTTCGCGTCCGTCCGTGCGAAGTGTGGATCGCTCGGCACGGCGGCGACCGGCGATAGCAAGCCCGCGTCTCTGCGCTGCGGTCAGCGAGCGCGTTTGCCGTGGCCACACGTCTGCCACGGTCCGCGACGACGAGGAAGGGGAAGTTCGCCGTGCCCGGACCCTGTGCCGGCAGCACGCCGAGAGCCCCCCTGACCCTCCGGCCGTCGCCGCCGCCGATTGTTTGCGTCGAGCGAGCGCAGTGGCGCAACCGCGTAATCTTTTGTTTGCGATCTTCGATGAAGTACAGTGACTCGTTTAAGAAGATTTGACCGACAGATTTGAGAAGCCCAAAAGACTTCCGCCCGCGCTGCGCCCGCTCTGCCGTGAACTGCGCCCGCTTGAAGTGCCCCTCGAGGCACCTGAGCAGCAGTCGCCGTGGATTTACAAAGGCGATTCCAGCACGTCACCTTGAGTTGTAATGCTGTGCTTCGCACGTGCCTCTGATGATAGTTATTTTTCTTATTTTATCAATCGTTGTGGAGCACACAGAGCGAGACGTCCACTCCGATTGAACCACCCTCGAGGCCGGCTGCTGCCTGAGGCCAGGCGGCATCTCGGATTCTCCCGGCAGCGCAATGTTCGATCTAGAGTCTTGCGTTGAGTAATAGTATTTGCATGTACGTTGAACTTCTTTGGCACCGTACATAGCTCACTGTACTAATCACAGGTACGGGGGAAGGACAACAAAATTAACACAAAAATAATTTCTCAATAAATACATTTTCAATTATTTCAGAGTGCATAGCTCCAGTAGCTTCCGAATATCGGAAGGAAAGCGCGCGATGTAGTGGACCGTCTTTATTCAATGGTTACCTAATGATACTCATAACAATCATTGTGTCATTGTGTATCTTGGAATACCTCACCGGGTCTCGCACCGTGAGGGGAAGGTCCTGCATTGGGATGTTTGTCCATTTTGCATGAGTCGACGTCTTTCGCAACAGAAGATGGCATCGTCACAGGACCGAAATAAATACTTTAAATAATTTTCTCCACTAAAGAATGATGAGAATGTCGAGATCTCTGGACAAGTTAGCAGTCGCTATTTCATCAGGGGCACGAGGAAACGACTCGCGACAGAAAAAGGAGGTGAGGTAAATTATGCCAATGCCATGGACTCGGGGGTGACTCACAGGAGAAGAATTTCGTTTTGGGAACGCAGGCTCAAAATGCCAAGTGACCAGCAACAAACAGCACTGTAGTGGGTGCGGTAGATAAGAGATAATAGGTTTGCCGAGTCGAGCGAGGTCGGTAGAAGAACTTGGCTTGAACACAGCGTGGATGAGACTAAACGGTCAGGGGCTGGCAGTGGCACAAGTCCTGACACACCGGTGGGGGAATCCGTGAGTGAAGTTCATGGCTACCGCTGGGCTACAGTTACCGTTCGGGTTGACAGCAGTGCTGAGTTTCTCACTGAAACATTTCCGGGTTGCTGCCAGGCTGGAGTAGCCGGCACGTGACTCGTAGCCACAGCCATAGCGAGAGGTATTCTGGATGCGGTGTGCCGGGTGCGGAAATATTGTCTGCTCTCGCCGACCCAGAAAACCCGGTTTGTAGCGACAAGACGTTGCACGAGAGTGGGTGACACGTGCGCGAGTGGGTGACACGTGCGCGAGTGGGTGACACGTGCTCGCAGAGGACTCGTGGCTGTGAATTGTAATTCGCGTCTTGGAGCCAATTGACGGCGGCCGTCGCATTTCACAGGTACACGAGGCAGAGTGAGCTCACGTGTGTTTTTTTATCCGACACGTGCTCGGTTACCCGTGCCACTAATTGATGAGGTTCCAGTTGTGGAATTCCCATGAAACATGCCTGCATGAAGGTCATCGTTAAGAATCCACACTCGTGCAAACTAAGCTTCTCCCAGTTGTTGTTATGGACGGTGTTTTCCAGCGGTTTACGTAATCCACGCTGATGTTGTTGTTGTTGTCTGCCCGTCACCTCCTACTGCTGGGCAACAGCCTCCCCCCCCCCCCCCCCCCCCCATTGTTCCATTCCTTCCATTCCTGGAATCGCTCCTGCCCGGTCGTGACCTCCGAACTCTGCGATGTCGTCTCCTCGGCCGTCTCCCTCTGCTTCCCTTCTCTGTTCGGCCTCCACTCCGTGCTTCTTCTCTCGTCTCTCATCAGCGGTTCTCATCCCGCGTCCTCCTGCCCATTCCTTCCTGATTGCTGTCGCTTTGACACCGGCGAAGTCGGTGCGCGCTACTTCTCTATTCCTGAGCCCACCTCGCCGACTCACTCACGACCTTCTCTCCACAGATCTCTTGCAAACCTGTCGCGTGTGCGTACACGTTCAACCAAGTGACAATAGCCAAGTCGAATGAAAACGCATCACCTTGGGGATTGCGCTCTGGATAATTTCCATTTGTGGTAAAAATATAATGTTTTATTATTCGGTGAGTAGAAACAAGCATCAATGTCGCCCGTTCCTTGAGCTGTAAATGTTTTAAGTTGTGAAAATGTGACCGCTGGAGTTAACATGGGCCCTGGTGCAGAGAATTAAATGCCCCCCCTTTCCCTCCTTCCCCCCCCCTCCTGACCAACTTGTCCCTCTCTTGGTAGCCCAGCGCCTGAGCCCCTGTGCAGTTGCACCGCCTGTGCACTCCAAAAGCTGTGCCGCTGTTCGACGTGTATGCTCCGTTAACAATGTAAAACTAAACAATTTTTACTTTACCAGAGCTATATAACTCTTCTTTCAGAAGCGTCCTGGCTATCGCAAATGATAGATCAACAAAGTGGCTTACACGTGGAAAGGTATAGCAGCCAAATACTCAACGCCTGTTTCTAAATGTGGAGAGAATAACCGCGACCACGGAGAGAGAACATGCGCCAACTCCAAATATACAGCAGGCGTCAGGGTTGAGATCGAACCCACGACTCCCATGTGAGGTAGTTAATATCTCGCCACCATGGCACCCAGTTCTTCGATGCCAGCAGCCTTGGGTGCTCTCGACCCATTTCTGGCCCGCAGTATGGGCACGGCGCTCTCCTGCCGCACGTTCAGAAGTTCAGTCTACGTGGTCGCTGTCGTGCGATGCGTCTCAGCACGGCGATGCTCTCCAAGTGATTGCATTTCACTCCTCCCAACGAACGCGCTTCTCGTGCGGAGGAACCACGTCGATGTTATTACTTGGCATCAAACTTGCCCACTCCCCGCCCGTCCGCCCGCCCACCCGCCTCTATCTCTCGCTCTCTCCATGAAGCATTTGCTCAATTGGCCTTACCGCATCCCTTTTGTTAAATAAGCAGCTCTGGCAGTGGTGCACAAGCCACGATGAACAAATACTCAACACATTCGTCAATGGTGCTGCTCTCAAATGAAAACTACAGTAGACGGCGTTTCGCGCAGTTGCCCTTTTCTGTAGCAGAGATCTCTGTGCAGAGATCGCAACTTGTTATATATACAGAATCTATTTTTAGTTTTGGAGCAGTGTTATTGATGAAAGTGTTCAATCATACTTTTCCTACTACCATAGTGTCGATTCCCACTCCGATCTGTAGGTAGCATCTATTTCCCTCTTCCCGTTTAAACCGCCCCCCTCCCCTCCCTCAGACTCTGTGCGCGTCGTGTTGAGTTTCGGCCGCAGCTCAAAGCTTCGTGAATCCGCCCTATCTCGCGTGCAGCACCGGCGTGGCGCTCGCTGCCCGCCGTGGCGCTTGCTATCCTTGGGGCTGGGGCGCGTCGTTGAGGCTCCGGTGCATTGCTGCATTTATTTCATTTGCGCATTCGGTTGAACTGTCTCCTCCCATGTGTGGGTCTTCTCCGGTCATTCTGGGTTCCTTCCACCGCCCAAACGCTCGTCAATGGAATTGGCCAAACGTCGGCGTGTATCAGGACCCTCCTGAAAGAGTCTTGAAAATGAACCAGGATTTCCTGGCTACATTTATTTTAGCCAAGCTTTTCTGGCTAAAAGAGCATATTATCCTCGTCATAATCATAATCGTCATCGTAATATTTCTACGGATGATATTTCTACGGCAAAGTAATTGCTTTCCTCTGCATGTCAGCAGTGAAGTAATTTACCCCAAAGGTCATGTAATATGCCTGCACACAACACACACCATTCTTTTAATCTCGTTGACTTATCTTCATTTATGTTTGCTCGGGGATACGCACATCCGTTAATCAGCAGTGGCATGGCTTTGTTTCATATAATCACCCAGTCACTCAGTTGGTATTGCTTAAAATGTTTACGGTGCTATTCATAATTTCGTGAGGTGATTTTATTTCTCTTACAATAAAAAAAATTCCAATTTACAGCCGAGTGGAAACTGTGCAGCCGGGCCAGATAGGGGTGGGAGTGGGGGGGTTAACACAAGGATTTAGGGAGGGAGTGGGGGGTAACGCAGGGATTTAGGGTGGGGGTGGGGGGGTAACGCAGGGGTTTAGGGTCTTCAGATCCGTGGCCTCGAATTTTGAGGCCCACAACTCTCCTGAACAACAATATCGCAGCAGCAGCAGTAGCAGCAGCTGCAGCAGCAGCAGCAAGCAGAAGCAGCAGCAGCTGCAGCACTAAGCTGTAGCTCAGCACTGCAGTTTGTATATCACAATGTAGCAACTGGAACTGAAATAACCAGGTGACCAACAGTGGAGTTACTGTAATGGGGCATGGGTGGTGGTTAAAGCAGTCAGGGGAAGGACTTAAACCTGCAAAGAGGGAGTGAGTGAGTAGTGCATCACCTGGAGGAGTGAGTAGTGCATCACCTGGAGGAGTGAGTCGTGCATCGCTGTGATGTCGCTGCACCGGTGTTTGTTTTTCCTACGCAGGTCCCGGTGCTTTATTTATTAATTTGTGTTTTTTTATGACTTCCCAGGTGTGTGGATATGATAATGGAAGTGGACAATGAGAGTGCCGCAGGCAACCAGCCACACACAGGTACGGTCTCTCCCTCTGCCCCGCACGAACGCATCGCTACCCGGCAGTCCCTTTCCCACCGACGTCTCCCGGAGACCTCGTCCCACGCTCACGATTGGGGACGCTACTAACGGCGAGCCACAGAAACGCGTGCCCGGCGAGCGGTCGACGCGTCCGTCACGGATGCATCTCACTCCGAAGTTCAGGGTTGTCGGCGTTGATACAAATGTAGTGCCCGGCGCGACGAGCGCCTGTGGTGACACGAGGCTGGCCAGCGTGCCGCACATCTCGAGGCAGCGCCGCGTGTCGCCTCCTCGAGCAGTGGGAGGTGTGATTGGGCCGACACCCACTGCAGCCAACCCTCGGAGTGACCTTACGGAGGCTGTTCAAAATCAAAGGCCCTCCTTCGACATTCGTGTCTTTCCACCGAGTAAACCCCCGGGATATTTCTAATCCCTCTGGCCATTGTTACGAAGACCGTGGTTGTATCCATAAACACTCAAATGTGAGAGAGCGAGAAAAAATATCTATTTTCTATGGAGGGAGGTAAGAATTTCAGACGTCGGTATGCGACGTTAATATTGCGTGACGGCTTTCAGATTCTTTAGCACGCATTTCCTGAAAATTCTCGAGGCTGCGTCTGTCAGCAGCGAGCTTTTGTACCTGTTCATACTGCCAATGCGGCCATTTTTAGTCCGAGTGCTGCCACTTGTCGCGCTCATTGTTACATTTATCAGCAGCAACGCCAAAGCTATAACGACCTCCACTAAACGCGGGGTGCGGTGACGCGGCCGATACCTTGACCTGATGTTTTCAGTTCCCACCGGCTCACCACGAGAATGAGTCATCGTGCTACCACTTGTACCGTGTTTGCGATGGCTGCATACGGGAAAATTTTTGTTCAGTTTAATTTTAATAAAGAACTTTTCGCTTGCATATGAAATGCATTTGGAGCACGTGTCAAATGCGAATGCGTTTAAGCTTACTGGTGATGCCCGGTATTTAGTGTGGCCTTTTTTATTTTCTCGTGTGCTTTGTTTTTTATTAATGTATTCGCTTCTGAAAGGTTTTTGCTACTGGCAAAGGAGGCCTCGTGATGATACAGACGCATGTCGTTTATAACTAACGCGTAGCGGGTATCCCGACACCCGTGGTGTCTGCGCGCTCCGCGGGCCGTAGAATTCACCGCGACTAGTTTCCCACGACCACGTTCATGCACCACTGCCCGTGCGAGATCGTCGTTCAAGACCTTCACGGGGGTCCGCACCAGTCAGCTGCGCTCCCTTTACTCACGGCGGACTGACGGTCGCGAGTGATGGCAGTGTTATCGCAACCGTGGCTCGACTCGGCTCATCGTTATTATACCACCATTCCGTCACGGTCGATAAAGTCGGTACCACTTCATGGAAGATGGATCGCGACCGTCCCACGGGGGGAGCCTGGCCTGCACCACAGGAATGCGCGATTCCTACAGTTGGCACAGATCCATCAGTGGACGTGAGCACTCCCTTAACGCTCGTTTGAGCGAGGAGAGACAGAGACGGAGACGGAGAGGTGCGCGTTTGCCGTTGGGACAGCCGGTTTGCTAATGCATCCGGAGCCCCTTTGAAGCGTGCGCCTGTCGTAGGCGAACATGAGCTGATTGCGCGTGCGTGCCTGTGCGCGTGTGTGTGTTTGTGTGTGCGTGTTCGCCCGTGCGTGCGTGCGTGCGCGCGTCTCTCTTGCGCAGAGGGTTGGACGGACGGAGACCGAGCCGGTGCCGCCTCCTCCCCATCGCCCAGCAGCCCCCCGGGCGGCTCGGATCACATGATCCAAGGTGAGACGGCAGGCAGGCCAGCGGCGAGCACGTGTCCGATTACACCGAAGCGCTCCGTTTCTGTCGGAGGGAATGAAAATTTGTGAGCGGCGAGCGGCGGTCTGCTGTGAGCGGAGTGAGACCAAGCGACTCGTCTTGGGGGTTTCCCTTGTGCCGGTTTCGTAGCAGCACAGGAGGCGGAGTGCGGGCTCTGCTTCGTTATCGTGTCTCTTGTTATTAATTATTACTAATATCTGCGAAGATATCGCCGAGACTGTTTGGCCGTGCAGCGCTGGCAGGATTGGGCAAGGCTGCGCGGTGGGAGGATCGTTGGCTCACTCCGTAAGCCACGCAATGCTTCGCCTCTCCGCCGAGTGATATCTCGGGATCTGTTAATGTGTGCATGCGCACGCGGGCTGGGCAGCGGGCTTAGCATCCCGTCTCAAAGCTCCGAGGACTACGTTTCCTTTCACATAATCACCGTAAAATGTTGAGCGTGCGCATGCAAGGTTGGGTTTGTGTTTTTCTTATCTTGATGCCATGGTGAAATATCTCCTGCTTATTGCTCAAAGGGAACACAATGGTTCGCGGTTCCCCGCTCACGATATACAAATGCAGAATTACAAATTGAAAAGTTAGCAGCTGAGAGCCGAGTTAACAAGCTCTTGGCATTCTTCAGCGAGCTGCAGCTCGTAATGCTGCACGCTCGCGTATATAGGGGGCGCCACGGTGGCGATATGTTAACTTCCTCGCCTGGTATACACGAGGTCTTGGGTTTGAACCCAAACCCTGTCGCTTGTATATTTAGAGTTTGCATGTTCTCCCCATGGTCGCGTGGAATTTTATCCAGTGTCATTACCACTCCCATCTGGCTTTGGGCACCGCGTTGGGAAGATGTCAACTGCCTCACCTGGTATACAGGAGGTCGTGGGTTCAACTCCACAATCAAAATATTCATCAGAATCTTTATTTATACTGCAGGAATCTGATGAGCTGTATATTTGGAGTTTGCATTTTCTCCCCGTGGTCACGTGAATTTTTCTCCGGGTCCTCCGGTTTTTATCTTCGCATTTAGAATCAACATGCGTTTATAAGAGTATTTGGCTGCTATCAATGTCCACGTGATAAGCCACTTCGTTTACCTATCATTCATGATAGCCAGGTCGCTTCTGAAAAAGAGCTGTACAACTCAGTGGGGCTTACCTTGTAAATTTGAAGTAACTTAGTGGTATTAATGGTTTTTATAGAGTAGGCACGAAGCAATGTGTGTGCGGATATTCAGGGAATGGATCTGGTCTAAAAGTGGAATATGGTGCCACTCGAGCACCACGAGCTCCTCCATGAGCTGCGACCGCGTACAGCGCCTCGTGTTCACGCCCATCCATCAGAATCTGTATTTATCCTTTATTTAACCAAAACGTGGCGCCAGTAACTGCTCGTCGACGTGAAGCTGTGGCCCTGTTTCCATGGGAGGGACCTCCTCCTCATCCACCTCCTCCACCCTCTCACAAGGAGTCGCATCTCAGCGACGGGTGGGAGCGCCGCGGGCTGAGACTCGCCCACGCACGTACTCATTCGCTACTCGCTCACCCACCCATTCGCTCGTGCGCTCACCCATCCAACAATTCACTCGCTCACTCACCCATCCATTCACTCGTTCACTCACCCACCCATTCACTCGCTCACCCACCTATTCACTCGCTCGCTCAGTCACTCAGTCACTCAATCACTTCCACTCTCGCTCGCTCCCTCTATCGTTCACTCACTGTCTCACACATGCCCTCACCAGATCTGCTTCCTCTCTTATTTTATCACTCGTTAATTTACTCATGCGCTGACTTGCCTCCTCGCTTACCTCCTCACTCATTCACTTGCTTACTCCACTAGCTCACTCATTCACTCGCTCGCTTTCCCATGTAAAATCCAGATGGTATTGTACGTTAGTGCATGAGTCGCCATGCAAATCCTTTGCTCTTCGTGCAAGTCTGTGATTGCCAACGCCTCTCAGGCTCCTGGGAAACTGCCCAGTGGCGTATCGTGGATGGCGTGGGCTCTGGAGCAAGGACTGAAACGGTAGTATTCCCCCGTCACATTTCCCCATTTTGTTCGTGGCATGGCGCTCAGGCGCCCCTACGCCCCGCTCTCTCTGCCGCGCCGCTCTTACCAAGCCGATTTCCGCCCCCTGCGGCGCTGTTTCCCCGCCGCCGGGAGTGCGTGGGCGCGGCCGCCTTGCGCAACGCGGTCCGTGTCGCCCCCCGGCTCTCGGGGCGGCCCGCGGGGCCGACTGACCCCCCCGCCGGGGCAAAGGTCGGTCGGCGGGGGGGCGACGGTCGGTCGACGGTCGGTCGGCGGGGGGCGTGGGGGTGGGGTGTCCTTATTTCTCTCGTACGTACGTGACGATCGCCACCCCGGACTGGGTCGCTTCTTTCACGCCGTGCTTTGTGAAACCGCGCTAATCGGAGGTGCGGGCAACGGGCAACAAACTAAACACAAAACTCATTTCTAAAGACTCATTTCTCAAGAAATGAGCTTTGAATGGAGATGATTTAAGTGCATAACTCCAGTGGCTTCCTAATATCAGAAGGAAGAGCATTCAAGACGACTGCAGAAGCGCATCTGAAAGCACCGCGTGATGATGCAGTGACCGTGTTTGTTCGATGGCTCTCCATCGCACGCCAACCGTGCGGCGACGATCACGACGCGACAGGTGCAGTGGCTGAGCTGAGCGCACCGCACCTGCACCCGGCCGGCCGGGCGGGCGGCGAGGGTTGCTGGCTCGCTATGCTACGGGGCAGTACAGCAAGTAGATTTCTGACCCGGCTGTGTGAAGTGTCGATTTTTTCCTCTCCTTACATATTTGGGTTTCTTCCAAGCCCTCTGGTGCCCTCCCACGCAGAAAATTTCTCAAAAATAAATTGGCTCGACCTCCCTGCCATGGATTTTCAGCTAATTGAGGCTCGGTGAATGTTCGCTGAACAACCGCTGCCGACTCCAATAGAGGCGACCACTAAGTTTGCTTCTTGCACTCCGATGCTCAATGTATATGTACACAAACTTGCTTTTCTTTTTATAACGGGGACCCATCTTGTATATGGAGTGCTCTCTCCAATAATGTCTATAATCCAGCAGCATTGTGTAACAAGGCTCGTTCTGCTGATGGGACCCAGGAAGTTCAAACCTGTCCAGAGTTTTCTTGGTTAAACAAATGTTGCTTGGCCATATTGATCTGGAAAGCCAACAGACCAGGCAGATGGCGATGATGATGGCGACGCAGACGAACCCTTCGTGGAAGAAGCGCATAGAGGGGGGTCAACGGGATGGCATCGTGCTACGGAGGCAAAGGTGGTCGTGACGCACGTCACGTCCTGGCCCAAACGGCGGCACGGGCAAGAGCCGTGCACTTCCACGGACGGCACCGCCACCGCAGGGCACGGCCGACTGTCTAGCCGGACCAGGTGTCCGGCTTCGGCAGTCGGAGGAGGAGAAGGGGGACCATCGGGTCACCTGCCCTCGCTTCGGTTAACTCGGCCTCACCCGAGGCCCAGACGTTTGCGTTGCCGTTTGCCGAGCCGTGCGCCAGTCAGAGGAGAAGGAGGGCATCTTCCTGCAAACGAACGCGGAGATTTTGCCAAGAGGGTTAGAGAGGCATTAACAGAGCGAGACGGAGGCGACGTGAGGCCGCCGGGCCCGGCGCGTGACAGGCAAGGCCGTGCGGAGGCTGCGATTTGTAGGAGAACCCGTTCCCACTCCCGGATTCGCGTCCCAAGGTCAGCGCCGCTGTGCGAGCGTTTTTCGTCTTGATGTCTACATTCCGGGCCCATTCCTCGCCGCTGTTTTGTCTTCACAGCAACGAGGGATTGTGCTCGATTCGGAGCGCGTTCTGGCGCTGGTGCCAGAGCACATTTCGTGCCGTCAACCGCCATACGGCTTTAGTGTGGGGGAAAGAATGGTGCCATATCGAGCAGATAGAGCATTGAAATCAGTTAATGTTCAGGTGCTTTGTGCACCTAAGTAGTAGATTTCGTTTTGAAACTTGTTCAATAACTTAATTATGAGCCGAAAGAATAATAGTTGCCACGTTAAACGCTTGCACATGCGGCAATTCGTATTATTTGGCGGTGGTGAATGGTTTGAACGACACAAATTTGGTCAGATAATTACGTGGCCTCGTCCAAAAATCAATTGTGAAGCAGATGCTTGGTGGATTATTACATCACAGGATAGTGACAGCTTGGCCAGGCCTTCATCCAGCAGTGGATTGACCGTGGTTGAGAATTATGACGTTCTAATCGGTTGTACCACGTACTTCGGTGTAATTTATGACATTTCGCTCTGCGTGCTGAATCCAGTTCCTGCAGAAGCTGCCAGTTACATGGTGCGAAACGTCAGACTCCACCAGGAACAATTCGCAGTGCTCTGAAAACGCATCGGAGAGCTGTGCAACACAGCCACAAACACCTACGCAGTGAGAATATTTTTTTTGGGAGGGGTATTTTTTCAGGCCTATCTTGGCTCGCTCGTGTTTAATTTTGGATGCTATGCGCTGACTTTTGAGAAGTGGCTGGACTGGGTAAGCAGTGCCGGACTGAGAGCCGGACCGGTGGGGGGGCGGAGGGGGGGCGGCCCGCAGTGGGCGTGCTGGCCGCACCTTGCCCTGGGAGCGAACTCATTGCTTGGCTTTGTGGGGCCGTGCTCGGGGGAGGGGAAACACAGACACCAGGTGGTGAAAAACACAGCTGGAGTGAAAAGAAAATGACCATGTGCGATATTGGCAGGAACATAAGACGTTGCTGAAGGATGGCAGAAGGTTACGCATTTTATGTCTTATTTATTTTTCGAAATTACAATTTAACTGCATCCCCGATGGTGCGTTCTGCATCACGTCATGAGGGGAAACAGATCTTTTTAACTCTTGCAAAGCAGCGGCGACCCTGCGTGTTAAAGAACGGCCCACGGAGGTAGATGTCACAGAGCTACTTTTGAGATCCCTTCCAGTGACCTCTGATCCACACACAGTAGGG